GAATAATTCCGCTTTATACTGTGGTGGCCCAGATTTTATATTATACCTGTTTCACAGAAAGCACCCTTTTAAAGTTTGCTGGCCCTGAATCTTCTTATTTTTAAGCCGTCTTGAATCATCTTGCAGTTGCATCTTCTTGCAGTTAGGTCCACCCCAGCTGGACCCAAACAAATCAACAAAAGGTGCAATGTCAGATTCAACCATAAGTATCTTGGCTTTTTTTTCCTGTTTAAAAACTTCTTTTTACCCCAAGAGCGCAGATGGGAAAAGTTCATTCTTGCTGTCTAGTGAGCTTTTACGTGCTCTTGCCTATAAGAACAAACTGCAAATCCAGGGATGTCTGGAAAGCAGAGGGAGGGACTGCTCCTTTTTTGAAATTAGCTATTTAATGCTCATTCTGCTCTTCAGAAGTGGGTGAAGAGGGAGGGATCTGGGGAAACCTGGTATGTAGGAGCATAGCAACAAGAGCAGTAGACAACGCACTTGATGTAAGCAGTGGATTTAGGATGTCGCTGCAGTGTGTTAGACTGCATGTCTCTTTAGCCTGGTATCCAGCTGACAGTGGCATATACTATATGTAAGTATGAAAACCAGACGCATTGGTGATTCTTTCCCTTATGCATCTGTACTACTTCTAGGAGCCATCTGTTTTTGCTGCCTGCTTGCAGGTCCACTCAGTACAACTTAACTTCTGTTTTCTTGTTAAACCCGGAAAGTAGCTGTGAAGCCTTTTAATCTTCCATTCTTCCCATTTTAAGATGTTAAACTGGTATTTTGTACTCTTTGGGTTGTACTCTTTGCACTTTTTTACACAGTATTTAGGAAATACTGCTTATTTTAGTAATAAAGGTCAGCATTCATCTTTATTAGTAACACTGCTTCTATAGTTGTGATCATTAGCCAGTGTGGTGTGGCTGTTTGGGAGACTTGGTGTCTTTTTTAGAATTGACCTGATAGATTTGGAAGAATACAGACAAGCCTTTATGCATATCCTTGGTATCTGCAGAGTAAAAGGCATATGCTGCAAGTCCCATCCATGTAGATCCCTGTGTCTCATGGTCTAGATAAGCACTTTTTGTGGAATCAAGGCAAATTATAAGACCCAAATGAAGTCTGAATCTTACACTCAAGTTGGACATCCTCAGCCTGGATGTATGAAAGGCTTGCATGCCTGAAAGCTCATTTTTTGTCCTCCCCCACCATGTGTCAGTCTTACGAAAGTACTACCAACTTCTATATTAATCCTGTCCTATACGTTGATTCTTACTGCCTTTTTCTTCTTTTTACAGCAAGTGTGACCAAGGCTAGAGGGATTTTCTTAAGCTTACATAGATTTTGTCCTATGCAAACTATTGACAGTTATTACTGAAGGAATTCTGGTGATACAAGCTGTAAGGTTGCAGTAGTAGATCAGTCATATATGTGCATGGTCCTTTTATTAGACAGGACTGTTGGAACTGTGGTCATGCTTAAAGTGTTTGAGGTGTGATCCACCATTGCTCCATTGGTAGCATAAATGCCATTGACTTAATGCAGAAATTGGTGACATAAAACAGGGAAATTGCTTCTGTGTTTATTATATAGCTGTGGTGGTGAATGTCCTGTTAACAACTCCAGCTTTCAGGGGCTTTCTCATTTTATTAGGGGGAGGTCGTGTATGAAGGCTGAGAAGAAATGAATAGGAATGGCTTATATTTGTACTCAAACTGAGTTCATGAACAGTTGTGCAAAACTCATAAGCAGGCTGTGAATACTGGTTGCTTTTGCTGGAATAAAGTTGCAGTGGTCCTGCAAAACCAAGTAATCGCTGAAGATCTTGGGGTGCAAAAGATTTTTCAGACGTTTCAGCCTTGCTTGAGGACAGGATGGATGCAGAATGTCCCATCCCAAATAATCATATCTCATTCATTTGCAAACCTACTCCTTCTCTGCCCCCTCCAAGAAGCCAGATTGTTGTGGAAATGATAATTATTCATATGTTGTGGAAATTATAATTATTTATTTATATTTCCATATAGTTATTTAATTTATATAATTATTTATATATAATTTAATTTTGGACCTCTCAGTTATAAGTATGCATATTAGTATTTTTGGCTTTAGCTCCTAGAGTACGAGCTAGAGACTTTCTTAAGCCACCACTGAGATTCTCACCTGAGCACCTGGCCTAACACTTTTCTCTACAGCTGAGAGCTGGAGAAAGCTACCAATATCACAACACTTGGTGCTGCTGTTCTGAGTGAAGATTGTGTTTCCTCAGGAAAGATGGTTGTCCTGTTATTTTTGCATACCAGTTACTTTAGATCAAAAAAGATGCTGAAAATTACTGTGGATGAGAAGAATTTATTTCCATGACTGTCATTTGGGTTACATTTGCTTTGGTCCAAGGTGATGTGACACAGTCAAATGGAAGTATATTGGTATAGTTACCAAAATAGATGCATTGTGTTAATTTTGTAATTAATTTTTTTGTGTGCGTGCAGTGTTTTTAAAGTAACAAGTATTGTAAGCAGTATGTTATTTTTAAACCAAGGACATTTTGTGCTGAATTTGGCTATTGCAACACTGGGTTAGAATTAGAATGCACAAAATTCAAAACCACAGTAACCCTAATTTTGCCATTCTTGCCTTTTTAACTGCCTAACAATAGTGTTGTGTTTGTACAGTATTTAAAAATATTTGTTAAGGGGAATGTAAAGAGCTACTGGCAGGCTTCTCCGTTAACTGTTTGTGCACGCTCAGCCACTGTGCTCAGAAATGAGCTGTAATGAAAACTCTGGGGCGAGTACTCCCAGCATCCACAGCTCAGACCCTGATTGGCATTGCAAGCGAAGGAGCAGCCAAAGCCCCAGCCAGGGTAAAGGCAGAGGCCTGTGCAGTGGAGCCAACAGTCCGTTTCGCTCAGAGGACTTACACCCATGATGAGCTAAAACCTCTGTTTACCGTCTCCTTTCCCAGCTCATCCTGGTATGTGCATACCTGGATCTATAGCCTCCAAATTGCTACTCTGGCAAATGAGCAATAATGTTCAGGATAATATAGTCTGACCATGAGGATGAATTTTATACAGCTATAGTTCATGCCATGACCCTAAAATCCCTGGTTTTGCCTGGCTTGGTCCTGACATTCCAGCCAGCACTGGGGAGAGATTATGGGAGGCCAGTACCATGCAAGACTGTTTGCTTGCAACCTGCCCCAACTGTGAGCTGCCTGATTTTCCCTGCAAGGGCTTTGTGCAGCTGGGACATGGACGTGTCCATCTTCAGACAGAAATTAGCTTTGGATTTCAAACGTCACTGATCAGACTGACCTGAATGAATTCATGTGGGAAAAATAATACTTGGAAAGCAGCTTGAGAAATTATTTCTCCTTTTTACTGTTGCCTTGCATTTTGGTGTGTGCTGTCTGTATAATACGAGGTCATCTGATGCACTGTATCGTGATAGCAATACAGACTGGTTAATCCTGGGAACCAGCAGCTCAGACCTTCCTTTCCAAATTTTACTGTTCTAAAACTTGACTTCTTTGTTAAAAATGAACAGTTTCCAGGGGGTAAAAAGCCCCCCGAAAAGAACTGTTGGCATCTTTTATTTTTAAGCAGTCTTGCTGAATGAAAACAGTTAATTATTAACTTGATGGGGTGACAGTGAGTATATCGAATTTGAATATCTCACCACTCTCACAAAGAAAAAAAACCACCGCACCCTCCATTGTATCATGGGAAGATACATAGCCAGAAAAACTTTCCAACTCGTTAAACTTTTATACTTGCTTCATACAAGCTTAATGTAGACTTTTTTCCATCCATGTTGTAGGGATGCTTCTGACTGCAGCTAAGGAGTTCACCATCAACTTAACAGTATTTCTTGCTGAACATGCCTTTTCTATACTAGAAAAAGCTAAATTACATAGTCTGAAGGATTAAAAAAAAGGTTTCCTTGTTTGTGTGTTTCAGGTTGTTTATTCTGCCAAGCCTGACAATGAAATCAGTCTGAAGGTTTCTCCTGTAATCAGTTTAGTCAGCTTCTGTGATTGTGTGGGGCATTTGGACAAGGATAAAGGAAGAAAGTTTTAAAAACAGGAAAATACTATTGTAAATATATCAGGCAAGTTATAAACTGGAAAAGGGTACTTGGAGTCAAGCATCATGCCTGCTGCTACTTTTGATGATCTGTGGTAGATGTTTTGGTTTGATTTCTTCCTCTTGTGGCGTATATTTGACTTTTTAGAAGAAGGGTATACTGACTTAAAGAGACAGAGAAAATACTGACTTAAAGGACTAGAGTCTGGCTGTATCACTTTTAAACTGTATATTTTGTAGTGGAGCTCAGGCTGCTGTAGCTGACTTGAGGTTGGAAAGGAATAAGAAGTGATTTTTGGGCTTGTTTTGAGCCTTCTGCCAGGTGGTACAGCTCCGAGCTCTCCCTTGTGCGCTTGGAGAGGCTACATAGCATCTCACCGTGTGGGGCTGTAGCTGGCAGGAAGCATCAAATATTCCCTTTACTGTTTCTCCCTGGTGTAATTTTAGTTTTCCGGCACCCCGATGGAGCTTTGCTGCTTGTCCTGGTAGTGTCCTTCCTCTTGCTCTTCCTGATCCTCCTTTATCATGCTCAGCCGTGAGCCCACAGGTCAGCTTGTCCCCATGACAGCACGGGAGGGGACATGGGTTTTGGCTGGTCATTGCACCCGCGACGAAGGACTTAGCAAGTTCTAAATTGAGAATCGTTGCTTCATACGTGTGTCTCTCCAAACCCATGGATTTAGACATTCCCTCACCATTAATTACATCCTCTCGTCTCATAGCAGCAAGTAAAAAGGCTAAGTTGGGCACGTTGTCCTGCTGCAAGCAGATGAACGTGGTTTCTTGTTGGTTGGATGCTTGCAAGTTTCTGACAGTATATGGCCACTCTGTTTTGGGAGGTGCATCTTGCAGGGCTCGCCTCAGGATGGGGAGTAACCAGGCAGCTCAGGCCCCTTCTCAGAGGGTGTGCATTTGAGTGATGCCAACTATTCTGGTATTGCCAGAGTCATTTTCAGTTAAAAGCAAGGGCAAGTGCTTCAAAGAGGAGCCCAGATCGCCGGTAACTGATGGCGAGCTAGGTAACTCCTAGGTGGCACTGGAAGTGAGTGGTACCATCATTTGCCTTGGTGCAATCTCTGATGAAGATGCTGGTTTCACCCCCTCGTTTTTGGAAGCCATAGGGTCCAGTCACCCATGTTCGTCAGTCGTTTGACATCTAAACTGCTCAGACATATGCAGTGCACAACTGCCAAAGTTGGCGGTGGTATCCGCCTCTGACAGCAGTTTGCAAGTTTGCCTGTTTGCCCCATGGCAGCTCTTAATGCAGCATCTCCAAGCACAGTGTCCCACTAAATGCTCGGCAGCAGTCACGCGGAGGTGAAAAGATTTCCAGGCAAGCTTCAAAGAGAAGGATGTGACTAACTGTCTCACAGGGAGCCAGGACGTGGACCCAGCCAGATGAGGCAGCTCACATGAAAGGGCTGCCAAAGGAAAGGGAGAGGACACAGACGAAACGGGTTGGGGGATGAAGAGGAGTAGGTAGTTGGGAAGGGCAGAGGGGAAAATCTCCATGGGCTGTTCCCAGCAGCCAGGAGACGTATCGGCTCTCCAAGGAGGTAACCTGTGGATAAAGCAACAAACCTCAAGCTTGCTGGGCGTTCGTTGTTCCTGGCTCCGCCACAAGCCTCTGCTGCCTGTCCTTGGACAAGTCACTCTCCTGGTGACTCAGTATCCCAGCTGTAAAACGGGGATTGCTGCTTACCTCATGGGATGTTGTGAGGGTGGGCTCATAGACGCCTTTGCAGTTTGATGTATTAAGGGGGGGAGGCAGAGAGGAGAGTAACAAAAAATGACCACAGAGACAAACTTCCCTCACCACCTTCTCTGAATGTAATCATGTCCGTAATGACAATATAATGATGACTTATTCATCATTGAGATATACTCCTTCAGTTGCACTGGTGGGAACAGGTTTTTTGGCTTTATTTTTTTCCCCTCAGAGTTTTAAAGATGTAATTTTGTATGTTTATTTAATATGTGAATGTTTTAAACAATTTCTAATAGAAAATTAGAAGAAATTGCAAACAATAAGTTAAAGTCAGTCTAAACCAAGACGTAATCAAGTAATAGAAGAGTGGGACTAGACGTAAAATTTGCAAAGGGAGCCTCAAACAGAGAAAATGCAAATCCCGAGGCCTGAAGAAGAAAGGGTTCTGGTTTGCATCTGTCTTAAACCCTATACCCCATAGTATACCTGAGGAGGGCTAAGACCAGAAAGCATAAAGAGTCGCTCTTTCTCAGCTTTCTGATTCTCAAATAAGCTTCTGCAAAAGGAAGGGGATCTCTGGTTTACTTTAACCCTTATAAATGTCACATTAATCTTACTCTGCTCACAAGGCAGTCTGATGGCTAACACACAAAACCAGGAGCCAGAAAACAGCAGTTTTTGGGGCAGTTAGGGAATCGATTGACCTGCTGCTAACACTTATTTCTGTCTGTGCCCTTTATGTGCTAAAGCAAAATGGAAATAATTGTCTCCTCTTTTGGAAGAGAGGTGCAAGATGCAAAGAAATACTGTAAAGAACATGGAGATACACAGGTGGAAAACCCTGGGGTGGTCACAGCTTCAGAGCACAGGAGCAAAACACATGGTCATATTTCACCTGTCAAAGCTGGCTTTGCTTTAGAAAACAGGAAATCTCAAAGGCATTGGCTAGAGAAGAGGAACATTCATCTCTTCTCAGTACTGTATTTGAAAGGCTTTAGCAGTGTAAGCTTTCCTGGCACTTGCCAAGCTATCTTTGGAGAAGAAAATAGGATTCTTGGGTTTGTTTTTTTTAAGGAACAGGTGGCAGCATGTGGAAACCTGTTGTTGTTAAATTTTAGTCATGGTTCCTTTTTTCCTTTTCTTTCCTTTTCCCATCTGCAGTTGAGTACGACAAGGAGTTCACGCCTCACCAGCGGCACCACAAGGAGTTCAAATTTAATTTGTCTCAGATTCCGGAGGGTGAGGCCGTCACAGCCGCTGAGTTTCGCATCTACAAGGACTGCGTTGTGGGGAGCTTTAAAAACCAAACCTTCCTTATAAGCATCTACCAAGTGCTGCAGGAACATCAGAACAGGTATGCAGGAAGGCGCTCGCTCTGTGCCACCAGGTGCTGTCCTGGGGAAAGTTGAGCTTGCACATTCATGTTGAGAGGACTGATAAATAAATACCAGGATTGCTCTCAATACGGGGGTTCTGTTGTTGCATGGGCCTTTCCTTGTGGGAAATGGGCATGGCAAAGTGCAAAGTGGACCTCAGCTGCAGAAAGTCCAAGGTGTCACTTAGCTGCAACCTTTGTGTTGTCTTTAAACAGAGCAAGAATCTGCTGTGAGGCAGTAGATTTTTAAACCAAACTTGTTATGCTGGCATTACTTTTGCGTGTTGAAATACATGTATCCCCTTTCAACTTAGTACTACTGCATAAGTAAAGCATAGCCTGTTTGAAAAATACTGGTCATTAGTGCAGACTTGACCTGCTTTCAGCTGGGCTTACATTAAAGTAAATAAAGCAAAAGGAAATTCAGCATGCTGACCACAGGTACAGAATCACTCCTGGGTTTTCAGTGGTAGTGGGGAAGGCAAAAGACAGTGGCAGGGTAGGAACTGTGACACAAAAATCCAAACAAGTGTAAATGGAGTAATTAAATGAAAAAGGGTAATGTTTGGATGGGGGAATCCAATAAGGCTAAAAGATGGAAATAAAGGTCAATTAAATGTCAGAGTAATGCTGTGGTACAAAAGTGTTTCATTACTTCTGCTGAAATGTGTCAGCACTGTAACTGTTCCTTTGCTGCAGGCAGAGAAAAAGATGTCAGAAACAGCAGTGTTGAGAAAAAGCTCATTTTCTTTTCTCTGTGAAGGTTTCCTGGGTATTTTCCTTTCTGGTCCTTCTTTCTACATCCTTTCCGTTGATATCATTTTGGGGTGATCTGCGTTTGATTTGCTGTTGTGAGGGCAACATCAAATAGCTGGTGGTTGTTCTGTGGGGAGTGTGGCATCTGGGGAAATGGAGAGAAATACGCGGGTATATAGGTGATGGGAAGAAAGTGTTAGTTTTAGATGATCAGTGTTCCCTTTGAGCTTTAATTTGCTGGTTGCTGCAGTGCCTCCTTGGGTAACGTACTTGCTGGTTAACATGTTATGTCAATGCCCACACTTGAAGAGCTGGTGGAAGTCCAGATGGTCATGCAGATTTCGTAGATATTAGCTGTATTGTTCATTTAGAGCCACATTGAATAAGCAAATGGTGAGTGTTGGTCTGGTTTAGATTTCACAAATAGACATCCTACTTTTGCAGCTGGAGGAAAACCCTTGCCAAGTGTCTGAAAGCCATCGATATGCTGCTCTGTGATGGTCACCAAAGCAGGGCACAGAGTAGGAGAACTGTCAACTTTTATGTGTAAAGAACATTTTTTCAGAGTAAAGTCAGCAAGCAAGTAAAGCACTGTGGGAAAGAGAATAAAGTGCAGGATATGGCCCCTAATGTACCCTGCTCCTAATAAATTTGCAAACTCTTTTTTTCTGAAAGGGGCTGTATGCAGCAATGATGCTGGCAGCTTGTATCCTTGTTTCAAGTACCATACCAGAAATGTGCCAAAATTGGACTGCATTGTGAAGCTGGGATGCGTGTCCTATGGCACTGGGTGCTATGGCATCTGCAGGTACTGGGCATCACTGCATGTTAGAGACCTCCCTTCAGACAGAGCAGAAGCAGCAGCTCAGGTGGGGATCACCAGGGTGGTCTCTCTCCAGAGCTGGTGAATATTTCAGGTCTTTCAGGTCCCTTCCATCGTGTTCCTCCTGCTGCTGCTGGCGATCATGCTGAGGGGATCCCGCTGTTGGGACTGGGAATCGTAAGGCAGCTTCCTCCAGGTCCAGACTGCCAGCAATTCACCGTCCCTCCTGACATGGGCTAGGCGTGAACTGCTGACCCAGGGATGAGTGTCTGTAGTTCATTACTAACCTCTGACTCATCCAGTCCCTGAAGGCTCCCTTTTTGTTTCTTTTTCTTCTTTATTTATTTATTTTTACTGGTGGGAAGGAGGGAGACCTTTGGCTAAAGAAACTTGTGCTTCAGATGAGTCTGAAGGACTTGTCACATCATCTGTGCAGAGGTGGGTAATATGTGGATCACAGATTCTTGCAGCTGTAAAAAGGATGTGCCCTTTTCCACCCTTTTTAGCTTAAAGGACTCTTTCACATGCATGTAAAATATAAAACCACGTATGAAAACGTGTGCTTCTGTATAAATAGATACCTACGTATGTATTCTCTGTATGTATTTAAAAGTGTATATATATTAATAGTCATTTATATGAATTGTCGTCTATATATTAAAAATATACAGATGTTAAAAGGCGGTTAAGATACTAGAAGCTACTTACCACTCTTCATTTTTACCTTCAGTTGAGGTTCTGACTCCATAGGCTATTGCTGCTACAGATTGAAACATGCAGCTGCGTTAGTGACCTGGGTGGGCTTTGGCCTGTGAACATTCTTGAAAACAAATACTAAAAAGTTCTATTTAGTTGTTCACTAATATCTCTGCATGGAGGGAAAAAAATGCCTTAGATTTTTCTGCTGTGCCTTAAGGAGCTTTATTCAGCTCATTTGGGATTTGATTATCAGTTCACTTACATGCTTTTACTAGGGGCGGGGGATGGGAGGGAAATCCAAAGTGGTTTTTCTCCTCCTTTTGTCTCAGTGGATTAATTTGGAAGCTAATGTTTTCTTGTCCTGTTGAGAACACTAGAAGGTTAAATTACAGGAGAAGCAGCACTATTTTTTTTTTTTTATTGAAGGAACTTGCTAAATATTTGCAAGGCTTCTGTTGCATTTTAGCAGATATTTTCTGAGCCAGAAAATAACAGCTGCCTTTGACTTAAAAAAAAAATACACTAAAAAAAGTTGTGTCACACTTCCTTTGGACAGCCTGATATTTCCTGACATTTTATGACATTTTATTGCGTAAGGAGGAGTCTGTACAGATCTTGAAGTCTAGCTGGTGAACTAGCAGGTGAAACAGAAGGAGTTGACATAGCACATTTTTTCATCTTGTTCTGCTGACAAATATTCCTTTCGGTCAGGAAAATTAGTCTCCTGAAGGCCACAGAAAATGCCTGTTCAGTCAACATTGGCAGTCTTCATAGAAAAGTCAAAGACACCATGTTAATCTTGGCTTTTATGAGGTTAACAGTTGTCTGAGGCGATTATTGGTAGCTAATAAAATACTTTTGGGCACAAATAAGTTTTAACAGGGCAGCTGGCATGAATGGATTTAAACCAGCAGTCTGCAACAGAAAGGCAGCTTGCAGCTCTGAGGGAAAACATACAAAGTAAAAGAAACCTGCCTGTTCCTCTGAAAGAAATTAGTTTGGGAAGGCAGGAGATTAGAGGAAGCTTCAGTAAATACAGATCTTCACCAAAGCCCAGGGTCTAGAAGTATCCCTTGCCTCCAGTTAAGTGTAATGAAGTAGCCTAATTCAGTATTACTTGAGCAAAGTTTAAAAAAATCTCATCTGGGCAGTAACAGGATAAGCGTGTGACTCCAGCCCAGATGCGTGCGCTGCTGCACGGAATTGCAAGGCGCTGCTGGCCGATCCCTGATGGCTAAAAACAAAACCAAGCCTGAGGCTAAAATTTCTGCCAGTTACTGAGTTATCAAACTGATTTTTGCCACTGTAGCCAAGGCTAAAAGCAAGGATTATATGGGCCCGTTCGAGACTGTCTCCTAGATAGGGGTGTATGTGGAGAGAGCATGAGTGATCAGAAATCGACGCTGATTGAAATAGCACAAAAGCTTTGGGGAGAAGTTTGACCCTCTCCTTGTTAAAAGCCATCAGAAATATGAAAACGATACTGGTGGAGGTTCCAGGCAGTGAAATGCACATTGAGGATAGTGTGGTCTAAGTACATTCTCTCTTAAAAAAGAAAACATTTTTAATACTGACTCACTTGTGTCAGTAATATTTTCATCTCCCCATTCCTTCCACCCTTTTCTAAGGTAAAAAAATACTGCCTAGAAACTAGGCTTTTGTTTTCTAACTGAACCACAGCTAGTGGCCACATTTTGTGATAACACAAACTGCTGGAGTTGTCAGTGGGATCCTGTGAAGAGATTAATGAAATCCTCAGGATGGGTCAAGCTTGTGGCCAGCCGTCAGCAGTATACATTTCAGATTGTGTGGGGAAGAGGCTTCACCAAACAGAGCTGATGTCTGGGTTGCTCTGAGGGGGATAACTCTGGGTTTTGAAACAGCCTGGGGGCAAAAGGGGCTGACTTTGAGAGAGAGAACGGTCAATAACTCTGCTGGATGCTTCGGTTTCTGACTCCCAGAGTTTAAGAGATGTGCTCTTTGAAGGCTAGGGTGGATTTTTCTTTTTCTTTTTACCTTTGGTATGTGCAGAAAGCAGGGAGATTTGCCAAAGCACCAGTTCAAAAAGACAAGTGGCATCAGCTTCCAGCTGCTTATCCCACCTTTACCGTATCTGAGGGGGCATTTAGTTTCATCAGACAGGAGCTGCACAACCTTGACTCTCCTTTTGGTGGTACTGAACCACAGCTAAGTCCTGCATGTGGGGTGGGCTTATGTCTAAGGTAGGTTATAACACTGATTTTGTGGAAGAACCAGCAAAGTCCTATGTGACTTCTGATACCTCTTGGGAGTGGATTGCCATGTAAGTGAGACCTTTGCAAGGGAAAGGAAGAAAGAAGTTTGTCCTTGGAAACAGCTCATTAATTTCTTTTTCTTTCTCAAAAGTTTCTATCTCTCACCCACAGAGGTGTCAGGTCAGGACTAGGGAAGGCAGTTTATGGGTTGATCAAAGATGTTAGTCCTTGGTTTGGATCATCAGTATGTTTTCAAGTGTAAATATCCTGCTAATGCAGACCTCAGACCACTCCCACACTGTCCAAACAACTGATCTATGAAAAACACAGTGGCCTGTGTTAGTGATCAAAGGAAGATATGGTACCTTAATGGTCAAGGTTTATTAAACAGTTTCATTTGCACCCAGAATGAAATATGAGGACTTGATCTGCAGAAAGATTCTCCTATATGATAAGATGTGTGGACA